CTACCATGTGGTAATTATATTATGCTATCCGAAAAAAAAATACGATAAATTGTTTACGGCCGATGAATTTAACAATTATACAACAATAGACAAAATAATACGGTGTTGTTAACGTACATTTTTTTTCTCGATCACAATCTCTGAATCATGTGCATAAACATTCTGTTTGTCTATGGTGTTTAAGTATATAGGCACGTTGTCGCGGTAGTTTGGGAACTAATAAGTAATGAATATTATAGGTATTGGCTGATTAAACGAATTCGGTTGACTGACCAAGCAAAGTGTATCAAATCAATCGGTATAGGTTATAAGTACATAATAATCATCTGGACTTTTGCGATCACTTCCTATATATACTCTGAGTTTGTAATTATACCGTGTTGTTTTTAGCGTTTATAGCGGTTTCTCTAATTGATCGAATCTATTGATTTTTATCATTTTTTTTTTTTTTAAATCCAAAAATCAATTAATTTTTTACAAGACCATAAGACTATACTCTTATTAGTTATTTCTATATATTTATAAGAATACTATGCATATGTTTACTCGTTTGTTTCCATAAAGCATAGAGTTAATGTGTTTTTATGGAATATTTAAATTTATTTGAATAAACTTAAATATATTATTATTATTATTATTATTATACTTGAAATACGTTACATTTAACGTGTATGAAATTGCGAAAAATAAATTAATATATATATAATAATAGAGAAAATTGATTAGATAAACTATTTTAAATTTGAATATTTGCTATTTGCCATATTTTTAGTTGACTATTATGTTTTAAAAACCACGTGTACTTTTAATGGATTAGTACCTATACTACCTAGATATGTACTGATTATATACTTTAAACAACTATTTTTTTCTTCAAAATTTGTCGATCTTTTAACGTTGAAATGCGATTACACAAACAATAACAATTATTACTCATGTACAATAGGACAAGACACACCCGCATCATGATTTATATATTGCTTCTTCGACACTCCTTAAAAAAAGTCACGTTAAATATAAGATAGATAATAAATTACTTTTCGACCGACAAAATTTACTTACTGTGAAATACACACAAATACACAATGGTTAATCACAAAAACCAATTAGATACCTATATTTTTATAACTGAAAAGTGTTAACTAATCATATAATTATATTTTGAATAGTATCTTTTTAAAATTTAGTCATTTAATGTCACCATTAAAATATAGCAGTGAACAAAAGAATCTATATCTTACAAATAAAGACTGTACAATAAATTTGTTTACAACATTTTAAAACACTAAGACTTATCAGTTATTAGTAATAACTTATTACCATTTACTTATAATATAACATAATATATTGATGATTAAATTACGTAATTTCAAAACATTTTTTTCATAAATAAAACTATGCTTATTAGAAATCGCATAAATGATATAAACTACTATTATAGAATAAAAAAAAATTTGCGTTACTGACACAAAGTTTACCTTGTTTATATTAAATATCAAGCAATTTAGAAAACTAGAATTTAATTCGTTTCAAATTATTTTAATTTAGTAAGGTAAGTATTTAAAATCTATATATAGAATATATAGGTAGTAATTACTAAGTAATTTGACATATACATGCGCGCATGCACATGCACACAGTACACATATAATATATATATACATAATTTTTTGAATATTGCGAGATACTATTCTATGAACAGTATACCTAGTATTGTTATAAAATATAAATTTATGGAACTTTAATGTTTGATCGGTTGTTGTTTGATAATAATTTAATATATCAATAAATATATTATATTATATTATCGTATCATAAATAATATTGGATTGGATAACGAAAATTATATAAAATAGCGATATTAAAAACTTGTCTGATGACTATCAAAATATTTTTATGGCTAGAGCTTATACATACATATACTACTTAGTACATAACATGTAATACAAGAAATGAGAATAGGATTTTGAACAATGATAGCCTAGAGTCATTTTTTCATCTACGTTGTATTATTTCGTATACTTTATAGTTTATATATATATATATATATAATATATATTGTAGAACGACAGTATTGAATGGTACACGTCTTTTCGCGAATATTTCAGGTTTTCACATTCTTACAACGTCTGAATGAGAAGTAATTATTGTTTTGTTGTCAAACGCTCTATAGAGAATAAGTACTACAACAGTGATTTTTACAATTTTACGGTCAAACCATAATTAGTTGGAGATAATAGAGAAAAACGACTTAGTGGGTACTGGCTGGCGACCGCGTGATTCGTGTCACACTGCCACCGTTGAACGAACCTTACACAGGAAGTTGTAACTTAATTCTAAACCTTTATCATGGCAAGTCATTGTAAAGTATCGTCATGACGAGAAGTATTAATATAGTCCTGCAAACAAATCTTTATATATTATTATGCAATATAATATGTGTGAAGTACATTGTGCGTGTTGCATGTACCTATAATCTATGTTATGTGTATCGTATGTACAATGTACATGAACTAGAAACCATCTTAAGAGTTGAATAATTGAAGACAGCTGGTATAAGTCTTATAGCATTATTGCCTATGTAAATACATTATAAAAATCACTTTTTCTTCCTCTCTCACACAAACACATATTATTATTTTCTGTTGGCCAGATGCCTGTTCAGCCTATTTATATGCAGCAGTATAATGATGCCATACCCTATTCTTCAGCAATGCCTATAATATAACAGTACATAATATATTATGTATCTATCTCTCTCTCTCTCTCTCTCTCTCTATATATATATATATATATATATATATATATATATATATACATTTATATATATTATGTATATAATCCTGCAATATAATACTATAAGCAGTGTATAATGTCAGTCACGCGGAGGAATGTATACGCCCGAGATAGATTTAAGCAAACGGGCGTACCTCGCTACAGTCCTTGTGAACAAGTTATACATTAATAATTATTATCATTCTAAGCGACAACCTTGCTGGCTATCTTATTTTTTTAACGGCGACTATCACCCAATTGCTTGTACGTGATTGTAACTGCTATTAACATTCTACTCGACCCTTAGGTAAAAATAATATTAAACTACTATACAAGGATTATAAATATATATAGTACTATATCATATATTATACAATATGCATTCAGGACAATAGTAAAAATCGTATAAGATAAACTTATTACACACGTACCCGTAATATTATGATTTATGATATATTAATATAAGAATGAATTAGCAACCGTTGTACTCGTTGTAGTATTTGCAGTATTTATTTACAATAATACAATATTAAAAACTAATTAAATATAAAAATATACATTTGTATATATTATTTATCATGTTATAAAAATATATTCTGCGATTATTAATTTTTTTCTTTATGGATTTACAAACAAAATTAAAATAAATTGTATTATACGATTTCAATAATTGGTTGGTAATTTTATACACTATAATATAGTGACTATTATTATTAACTATTGATGTTATAATGTTAATTTATTATTAACTAACAATCACTTATAAATTATAAGTTATAACTAGAAGTTGGATTTTTATGATTTTACACATTTGTTTTTTAGAGAATATTTGAGAATATTTCACGTATATCGGAATTTTGATAAATACAATATTCACTATACGATTTATTTATAGGTTCTAACTTCTAATATAAATTAATCATCAGATATATCTTATCGATGGCGATAGCACACCGGTTATTTCGTTAGCTGTCACAAATATTCAATCATCCGTACCGGTGTGTGTTGATATTATATAATATAGCTAACTAATTAATTAATTAATTAATAATACAAGTTAATAAATAGTATAATAATTAATAAATAATAAATTTCAACTAAATATATGTATTTTTATTTTTTTAATATTGAAAAAATATTTTGAATTTTTAAGAAATAAAACATCATATATCTGGTATTTTAAAAGAATATTAAGAGAATATATTGCCTGTTTTAAACGACATAAAAATATCATAATATTTAAGAATTTTAAGAGAATATAAATCCGACTTTTACTTATAACTATTCATATTGAAACAATAATACAATTTTACCTACCAAATCATGGTCAATATTTAGCTGCTATTACTTTTAAATATACACATATTTTACTGTTTATATAGTAAACATATCGTATACAGGTACATAATGTTAGTAAAACTAATTCAAGTTCATATCAAAGACTGCAGTCATTTAAAATATTAATGTTAAATTAATAACCAAACGTTTTATAAGACTAAATTAAGTTAAACGTATCCTTGAATTCTTAAGTCTCCTACTTTTACTAATACCAACTAAAGGTTTTTATAATCGATATTTTTTGATGGTCATTTTTAATTTATTACTTGCATAAATAAATGGGTTTTATTTTAATTTCTAAGTTATTTTATGTTTACTATGTATAATAAGTTTTTTTTTAGTTAATAAATGTCAACATGTATGAGGTTTTTTAATTAAAAAAATATTGACTCCTATTTTTGATTAGTTTATATAATTTTAAACTTAATGATAATTATTTGAAGTAGAAAAAAAAAACGTGACAAAGCTACATAGTATAGATAATTAATTCTAAAAAAATAACACAGTTAATCATAATACTGTGTTAATATTATCAAAATTAAGATATTCAATGAATTTTAAATATTCTTGCAATCTAAGTTAACATTTATTGTAATAATATTACATTAACAATAAGATTTATTTACAATATAAATATAACTTTTTACTTAAGTATTTATTAGAATATCAACTTTAGCTGTAAAAAAACATGATGTTTTACAAATGTTTAATATATTTTTATGGAGGAGTTATGATATTTCACTACTCCAAAAACTGTATTTTGATGAAAAAACACTCATCGCTATAAAAAAATCCATCAAAGATTTTAAACAAGTTACTAGACGAATAATTTCACTGTTCAAAACATTTTATCACAGTTTATTGGCAGCGTATTATTTTATTTTTAGGTTTATGGGCTGTCATAAATACCGCAGATGTATGCCTGAAGGGAAGAATCGAAATGCAGGAGAGCGTTCAATGGGAGACGTTATTCAAGACTAATGTTTTTGGAACACTCAAGACGGCCAGAACATTTTTCCCACTACTAGTGAGCCAAAAAGGTAAACAAATACAATCTTAATAAAAATGATTATATAACTGATATAAATAGTATTTTTTAAATCTAAATGTTATATACGTAATATTTCAATAATCGGTTCCAATTTTCTTAAATTACAATTTTATCTGACAAATTATAACTGGTTTTTTTTTATGATAATTATATAAATGCGCATTATTTTAATTATATATACTAATGAATTAACTGTCAAAAAAAAAAAAAAAATTATAATAAAAACATAGCTTTATTTTTATTCTTATTCTTCTGTTTCTTCTTATTTTTTAAATACTAAGTGGGCCTTTAATGTATCTTCTAATTTCATATCTTCCTGGAACTTATCTAAATATTTGATTATTGTTTTATTTTATTTCGCTAAACGAATTATCAAGAGACACTTCTTGTAAATTTTTCATACTGTTATTTATTTTATTGATTTTCAATTAACTTTTCATACATAAATAAATTATTTTATCACTCAACTCCATACGAATAAAAAGATATTATTAATTTTCCATAAATTCTAAACACATCTTGCGTAATTTTAATTTGATTACTTGACTGTACATGGCTATTGACTATTATTTGCAATAAAATGTAGATTAGCTTAATTAATCCAATAAAAATACTCTATAAATGTTTATAATATTGAAATTTTTTAAAATGTTTTATATTTGCAGGTCGCTTTATTAACTTTGGTACATCCAACGGACATCCTCGTCGACAAGGAATGACTGCGTTCGATTCTGCGCGCCATGCCGTGGTTGGTGCTAGTACCTCGCTAAGAGAAGATTTGAAGGATTCTGGTGTACATATAATCGTTATAAACACAAATAACATTCAGCCGGAGCACATGTTCGAACCAGTGCGGTCATCTGGAAAAGCTAATGAACAAACGCTCAATGAAACGTTTATGAAAACAATTTTACCTGAGTATGCCATACATACACTATTGGATGCTCTACTCGACCCCAATCCTAAACCTGTGTACGCTTTTGAAAAACCATCGGTGTTTAATTACAATAACTTTTCAAAAAGAATTTTGAAATCCGAACGCTACGTTGGATATGAAAATATTTAGTTAAAAACTCTTGACCCAATTTCAAAATAATGTACAAATTCTAACAGACCAATTATGGTTTTAATGGAATTGAAACTAATCAAAGTTATATAATTGTTTTATTTTATTATCATAACATAAAATGCTTAATATTTAAATGTCATCCAAAGAACATTATTAAATGGTCAGTATAGTTTTATATAATATCTTTTTAAATATTTATATGTTGTATTGTTATTGTAAAATAAATGTTCATACTGATTTAATGTACTGTAAATTTGTACCTACATAATATTGTAGAAATGATCGCTGTTATGCAATGACTATGAGATTGTTTAACAATTAAAAATAATTATATAAAAATATTTAATTTTTATCAGCTATGTATCTATGTATATTTTTTAAAACCAATCAGTAAATAAAATAACATACTTTTTATTGTACATAATAATCTTATTACACCATATAAGTTTATAATCCGCAATAGTTATATTCATTTTGGTTCAAAAATGAGATATTATTTTTTCCTATTGTTCATATTATTAAAACAATAATACTATCTTGAGGAATAGTTACAAAAATATTGACTAAATATATTCAAAATGTGTGTTACTATTTGAGTTATAACAATTATTTATAACATTTATTTGAATAATTTAATTAATTGTGTGCAAAATTTTGAGTTAAAAAACTATTAGTATCTTTCAATTGGAACTAATATGTAAGGAAAGTATGTTTTAATGTATATTAAAACAAGTCTAGTAATTATATTTTATATTAGTCAATAGGTAACCTTGTATTAATTCATTATATAAAATAACATAAGACATGGAATATTTAAATTTAAGATTATTACAGTAATTCGAAATTCAATTGCGTTGGTAATACATTTAAATAATATAATTAAATATATAAACCTGAACCAGTGTATTAGAAAAGTCTAATTTAAAGGGTATATAGAAAAAAATATTTTTATAAAAATTATTAAAGTAGTTCCTGAAATATGAATTATCAATGAATTAATAGTTTTAACTTTTAAGGTATATAAATTTATTATTCTGATCTCTGAATACATCTTCATTTAAAATCATTAAAATTTACTGTATAAAATTTATTAAAAACTGAATGATCAGAAGCTATAAAACAATTTTATTATATGTACTATGTTCAGTGAATTGTAAAATACTAAATACATTTAAATATTTATGAGTATATTATTAATCTTGGATATATAATGTAAAGTTTACACGATATCGTGTTGAATTTTAATTCAATTCTATGTCTTATAGTCTTATACTATGAAGTATTAATAAATAATATTTTGTTACGATATTATAATGAATATTATGACTTAGCTCTTCCTTCACCAACCAAATTTTTGAAACCATCCCTTATAAACCATAAAATAATTATTTAAGTTAATAATTAAATTTCGGATTTACATTCAAAACATATTTTAATCACTAATAGATAATTATAACTTGCAAAAAATAATATTATGATTATAACGTTATATTTAAATAATAAAAATTAAAATTTAAAATGTATTAAAATATTCTATTTTAAACGAAAATAATAAAATACTATAAAATGATACTTTATGGCTAAAAAAACATACGAAATATCATTAAATAAAATATAACGCAAAGAGAAATAATATGATATGATTTAATATAACATTAAACAAAAAATAACCCAAAATGAAATAATTTAAAAGCATATTGAATTATGTCTATTTGCATATATTATGTATAAATATCGGATCTCATCAAAATTTAAATTTTAGACATTCATACTAAATATTTTAAAAATAAAAATATATTTAATTTTTGCTTTTAATTTTCAAATCAATGGTATAAATATTAAAATTAAATTATGCATTTTTAACTATCATTAAAATAATTTGAAAATCTTTTCGTTTTTGACAGAAATCATTGAAGTTCTAACTTTGAAAAAATCGAAAATATCAAATGTTTAAAATATCTCAAAATGTTTCCATGCATATAAATTGTTAAATGCTACTATACACGTCATTATATATTTTATTTCGTCACATGCGGATTAGGCATCTCGATAGAATTAGTTTAAACGAGGTACACCGATACCGATTTGCTGGTGAACTAAGGTACACTTAAGCCTAGATACACCTATACAGTTCTGTAATCTATAACAAATTGTTATTTCATTCAAAGATGAAGTTGGACTATACAACTATTTTATTAATTTTTTTTAAAAAAAAAGGTAAATACAATCTTATATATTTAAATGTAATGTATGTTGTATCATAACTAAGTTAAGGGATTTGAAAAAAATTATTAGAGTAATACGTAATATATTGTCAAAATAATATTAAAATAATATAGGTTATAAGTTAGTTTAATAATTCTGAAGTTAAACAATATTAACAAAAGTTATGGTTTTTATTGGTTAATACAATAACATCATCTTAAGGCTGTATTATTCATACAAACATTCAAAAATATAAAATTAAGATTATTATGAATTCTACGTTCAACAACTTAAATTTTATACTGGTTAAATTATGAGCATTAAATTAAATTATATCAATTTTCGAGATAATTTTTTAATTTAATTAATTTTGCACTATTAACTTAAACAAGGTAGAAAAGTGGGCATTGCTCTGTAATTAAATTTGTCACTATTATGGATGTGTTAAATTACTTAAATGTGAATTCAACGATTTCATTGATACATCATTGTATATGAGAAACGGTTCTAAGGGGAAATGATTTATCATTCTTTATCACTAAGTATATTTCATCTCTCGTTTCTGATGTAGCTATAAAGTTATTTATTTTAATTCTAGTATTACGATAGGCTGATAAATTTTTTTCTTGGATAATGATGATAATGTAGTATGAATTATATTTTTTTAAGTTTAACCTTTTGAGTACAAACTAAATCCAATTTTATATCCAAAACCATGACCATTTTTGAAAATCAAAGCGTTTTATCAACAATTTATCGTGAACTCAAATAAAAAAAAAATATATATAAAATATATAAAATAACACATCATGATAAAATCAATATATTTATCGCTCCGTTCAAAATGTATGTAGAATTGTATACTAAAAACTTATAAAAGTTACTTTAAAATCGAATCTTATTATTTGATTATAAATAATGTTGAATACAATTTTTAATAATGAAGAATATAATATTATTTGAAATGCGAAATGTGTATTATCCACTTGTTATGCATTGTTCTAGAACAAAAGTCCCTGATGTTTAATTGAAAATTTAACATAATCTATGTTATGCAAAATTTTTGGAAACAATATTTATTATAATTCGATGCACAAAACTGCAAATATTAATGGACCAGAAAAACACCAAACACAATAATTGAATTTCTGTTAAATTAATATTTATGTTTATTTGAAAAAGGTTAGTGTTAAGTTTTAACTAAACTATGATTACTATTTTTTAAATGTCAATCAATTTATACATTTGAAAAACATATGTCTATTAGATAAAAATTTTGATGAATCATAAACAGAATGGAATTTAACATAAAACACAAAAATTATTCAATTATAAAGTTTGGAGTTTAATATATTTGTTAGAAACTATTGTGAAATAAACGTGTAGTATGATATGCCAAAATTTAATTAATTAAAAGCAGTATCTATTTAAAATACAAACATGGTAAAGGCTATAGGATTATATTATATAATATGTACAGTAGTGCACTCTGAATTTCAAATACGTATTTTAATGCAATATATTATATTATAATAATTTTATATTTTTAAATTAAATATATATAGGTAGTTATTTATATTTTATTATTTTAATAACTATGATAATTACCGTTAAAGTAAGGAATCTATTATTTTATAATTTAACGAATAACTCTAGTTAGAGTATTTACATTAAAATTAAATTAATTTTATATTTATAAATTGTATTTATATTTAAAAATTAATTATTTTACACAGTTAAATATTAGTTTAAGTTACACATCATCATTATTAATATAGTTTATATAGTATTAGTTACAAAATGATTATTTTGATGTTTAATATAATATTGATTAGATATAATCAGTAATAATAGTATATTTTATGTTTTAAATATTTTTAATTTACATAAAAAATAGAAATAGAAATTTGGACAAAATATATACATAAATAATTTTATAATTTCAATATGGGTACATAAAAATAAATAATTAAATACAATAATCAATTGAACAGTCTTAACAGTTCTTAACTTTAACTGGTTAACAGGCAACAGAAATATAATTGTATCCTAACTACTTCTAATATACATAACTGAAAAATCATGGAGAATTTCTAAAATGTCTATTTAAATTAAAAAGATATAGTTTATTGTTATTAAGTTACTATAAAAAATACCGGCATTTTATTTTTAACGCTAACATAAAATACATAGTTATAATATTATCATAAGGTTCTCTTTTCTTTTTTAATTTATCAAAACTTTATATTTATATGATGTCGTCATAATGCCATACCTTTAACGTATATTTATAATGATTATCTTCGTATAAATCTTATTTGCATTAAAGTTTTTATAGATAATTTAAACAAACAAATTTGTTTACCCTTAACTTATTCATGTGGTTATAAATTATGAAATAAAGTAATAACAAATTAAACAAAAAATAAAATGATTGAAATATAATATTTTTACTCCAATTTTTCAAATACCGAATATTATAATATGAGTTGCTATTTATGATAATAATATTATAATATCATAATAATTTCGTGCGTTAACATAATCGAATTAAACACAATCTAACAATGTATAGACTAGATGTATATATAAACTTTAAGTTGTTTTTATTTAAAAATAAAAATAATTTAAAAATTTAAAATACAAGACAGATAGCTTATTTATTTACTCTTTACTTATGACATTTTACATCGACATAATGTTTTAATATTATACTAGATTAATTATCAATCATAGCTCATCTTTAATTTCAATAATCAAAATAATAATATATAATATTATAAAATAAATAACTAATTAATAATATTAATATTTAATTTGAAAATAATGTTCTTATATATTATTCAATTAGATTTTTTCTTATATATATTTGGATGTTTGAAGGTAAAATCATATAATTTTATTTTTGATTATATAACATACCACATACTAATCAATTAAATAATTATGTTCATTTATTTATATATTTATTAGTACTTGTATAATGGTAATTTATATACTCGTAATTAATTTTTTTTAAACATTTTACAATACACCATTACAAAAAGTAAATAAACTTAATTTACATTGTTTTAAATAAAAATAGGTACTCTAAACTCTATCAAAAATGTATACAGTAAATTATATAATGGTTATAGGAGTTATGAATATTGTATTTAAGAAATAGAAGAAATCGCAATCTTAACGAAGTTTATTTTAATGCACCAATATTATTGAACAATGACAAGAAATTAAAAAAAAAAAATTATAGTTAAATAGCATACAACTTGTTTTATTAGGTTAATAATTGTATTTAAATACTTTAACTCTAACATTTATATCGTAAAAAATAAAAAATAAATTCAAAATTAATAGTGGAAGAATATAAGTATAAGGTATAATATTATATTCATTATACATTATATTTAATATTTTTATAATATTCAGGTCCCGACTGTGATAATTTTAGGTTACCAAATTATGTCGATGATTACTCCTCGTGTTATTATAATATTTTACTATTTAATTTAATAATACAATTATTTGAGAGAAGTTACCTAATACTTATTACCTATATAGGTATTGTATTTGAACATACTATCTCAACAAAGACTGGATGCTGTAAAATAAATAATTGTATTTAATTTTTAGATAAAAATTAAATAATAATAGTTAAATATCAATAATTAATTATATTAATTTAGCACACAAATATGTTTTAAAAGAAAACTGGTTTTTTCACAGTAAAATAGTGGAGTTTTAATAAATTTTCCTTAATAAATATTAAGTAGGTACTTCATCTACTACAGCCCATACAATCGAATATTATATTATATTATATTCGTTAACGGATTTGTCGATTCAATGGTGTCATAACCGGCTAGAATGATTCTTAATCCAATATAATACACTCTATTAACTATACACATTACATAGCAAAATAGTGATCAGTATTTAAAAATTGGTATGCTGTATAATAACATAATATTATAAAGGATATTGACCCGTTGGGAATATAAAGTTTTAGTAGAACAACATGTTTGGTGTTCACATACAAATATTAAAAGTATTTAAAATATACATCACGATATAAGCATTCATTAATAACATTGCATTATGGATATGTATTTAAATTTGTATTCAAACAAGTACATTGTATATAAATATATATATATATATATATATATATACATATATTATTATAGTGATGTATCATGTTTTTTTATCAGAAATGATAGATAAATTATAGATATTAAAGTTAAATAAATAATTATACCATCATGAGTTCAAGACCAAATTATAGTAGATTCACTTCTATAGAGAGATGTTGGTAAATTTTGAATGAAACACATGTCATTAAATCAAATGAAAAATAAAATTAATTTTAAGATTTACAGAAATACATTTTATTGAATGCCAGAAACGGGATGGATAAAAAAAATTACATACCTACTTAAGTATTAACATTATTTTCATTTATTACTGCTGAATTACTATAATTGTGTATCTTCTGACATTTTAAAATGATACCCATAGTGGGGGTATTTGCGAGCGTCAGGTAGAACAAGTGACCTGCCAAACTGAGAATCATTCGAATTCGACTTTAATTTCATGTTCGTTCCGGTTCTGGATACTAGTGAGTAAATTTTTCGCAGATGAACAGGTCCGAGGAGTGAACTATAATATAACATAATACATTGTTATCAGGTAATATTTAGTTTATTTTACTCTTTATTATAATTAAAAACCGAAAGTTGACTATTATTTAAATATATTTTATACCTAAGGATCCAAATAAATCTACATTATTTAAAGATATTAATCATATAAGCTTAAACAAATAAACACACAATTTTAAATTTGTCATTTTTTAGAATACACGTTCCAAACTTAAAATTTTTTATTGAATTTAGTTAATTCTATAGATTATGTTTATAGTAATATGGTATATTTTAGTTATGATTTAATTTACAATTTTCATTATCCTTTAAGTATTGTTTTCCAAATCTAAATAGTTACGTAACAAAGTTATTTATATGTTTGTTTACATACAATAAATATGTTTTATAAACACGTGAGTGTTTAAAATATTATAATTATGAGTAGAAAATAAATACAAATTATTTAATTAAAATGTTATCAAATTAGTGTTGAAAATTTTTAATTTATAAGTGCATTTCTTTGATAGTTTTTAAATTTTAGTACATTCAATTTCAGTCACCAATGATTTATTACGAGTATTAATATGTTATAAGGTAAAATATATATGCATATGTATACTTTTATAAAGTTCAATTGAATTTTGATAAGTTTTAATATTTCAATGTAAAATAAAAAAAAATAGGAAACTATGAGCATATTAATTTATATGTATTGAATAAAAAATTCTAATTCAAAAAATCAAATATTCAAGTATAAATATATAATGTTATCTAATATAAAAATAGTATTAATTATTGAGTTAACTTATAAACACTACCAACTACCTAATAATTTATAATTACAAACATCTATAGTATAAATTATTTATTATTATTAAACTTTTTGAACTAATAGGCGTTATAATCATATTTATGGTTTAAATTAATATACCTATAGACTGTATAGTGTATATATTATATAATGTGAAATGTTAAAATCATTTTTAATATTCTTCATTGAAAAAATGGTTTCATATTAAACTATTAAAATATACTTATTTATGTGTTCGTATTAATTATTAACACAATTGAAATAAAATTAATAAATTATTTTTGGTGTAACTAATGGTATAATTAATTAATTGTGCATGTATAAATTGTTTTATTAATATAAAATAGATAAAATATACAGATACTTATATACATAAATTATTATATGTACAAAGATCAAATATGCTGAATGACGTCGATGCAACCTAAATGTACCCGATAAACAGAAATATACAAGTTTACAGTTCTAAAATGCAAATTTTTTTATTTCACGAAATTTTTAGAATTCCCAATGGAATAGTCTTGCATGTTTTTTGTTGACTTTTTGCCATTTCACCAAATATATACTGTCATCATAAAGTGGTGTATTCTTACTAACCGTAAATCTCAAAGAAACAGGTTTTTTGAATATTTGTGAATATTTATATTAGTAAAAAATAAGCCTATATATAAAATAATACGTATTATAAAAGAGGTCAATACACCGACCAAACATTTATATATAGTTTTAAAGGTATTAGATCACCCTTTATAGCTACTACTGCAGCAATGAGCTATGAACTTTCGCCTTATTATATTAATCTCATAGAATCGTATAAAATAAAAGAAAATTATCTGTTTCCTTATATATTCATGGCATCATGTATAATGTGGTGTCCTTCAACTTGACACTGACGTGACACAATGTCCGGTGCTTAAATCTATATTTTTTTATCATTTTTTTTGGCGTTCAGGAAAGACGTCCGTTCGGCGTTCATTCACGCATATATTTGTACCTACGTACTTGCGATAAAATACATATAATAAATAATATTATATCCTACGCATGTTTAAATATGTGTATATATATACATCACTGTTACATGTAACCTACCCGTGTACAAAAAAATAAAAACATTTAATATTTGTGTATTGCTATAATGCGTTCAGCTATTATAGGTCGCACGTTATATCTATCTGTATAGGTATACAACTATGTAAGTAATAAAAGTGTGGGCAAATATTGGTGTCGAGGACCTCTGCAGTCAACGACTGCTGTAAATATCAAACACTCAGCATTATGGTATACATAATATTCGTTAAGTAGAAAAAATAAACTGTAAACTTAATAATATACAAGAATTGTTCATTATTTGCAGGATAAGGGATATAGCTTATACCTATATAGACTAGACGTATTTTCATTTCTTTTTTTCACGCTGCAACTTTATATCACATTGTCTATTACAGTACAATAATACTTTATGAGCGTTCCACCGCAGACGCCATATTCACTAATACTTATTTTATATCTTTAACGGAGCGCGGCAAGAATGTATCTCCGTATAACATATTCTATGTTATATTAACCCCACTTTTGGATCGTCTTACAACGCGCACGACGTAATAAATATTATATACTTATTCGAACTCATCCGTTGATCACTGTACGCGTAGTACTTATTCACTGTAGTTACAAACCATAAACTTAAGACAGAAACCATATATTTTATTACATACTTCATGTGTTTTAAATTGTATTCATTTACATACCTCTAAACATATGCATTGCATACATTCACATGATGATTGTTTTTGAGATGTATTTAACTTTACAAATTGATTTACGTAAAAAAAATATCTACACACATTATATAGTAGGTATACTATATATTTTATGTATACTTATTAATTATTGTTTATAATAAAAAACGAATTATCTTGAAAATTGATAGAATTTTTAGAGGTTTTTAGAGATAACTTCATAGTTTATATACACTATATTTCAAATAATGACTACTTTAATTCATGGATTTATTTAAAATATGAATTCAATTTATAACCAGACCGTTATCTTAAATATTGAAACCACATTTTTAGTGTTAGTAATAAATAATATACAATAAATATCTCCACGTAGATATAATGGCACAAGTAAACGGTAATTGAATTTTGTGTGAAACGACCAATGGCTAAATTATTACTGATTTATTTTTATAAAATTTAAATGTTGACTAAAAAGTAATTTGTATAAAAATATATTAGATTACAAATTTCTTTTATGATTTGGAAACGATGCATATATTTAATATTTGAATAAATGTATATAATCACTATATATACGTAGAACTTAACCTATTTACTTATATATTATATTATAATATATTTACTTCTATTTACTATTATATGTACAAACGTTGCAGGGAAATAATGTGTAAGTCGTTTTTTATGCTGTATGCAGCATGTACCAATATACCTCGAAATTATAATTTTTTCTCTGTTAAAAAATACCAGAGATCTGTAGCTATTATAATTCGAGAGAATGCCTGAATACAATATAAGGTATATAATATGTCGGCGCAAGGTCGACGAAAGCGCGAACATTATCCTACTACAATACACATACGTGCATAAATATATATATTATAAGTCTATCGTTTTGTTTGCTTCTTTTGTTGCATTTAGTTTATTTTTAAATTTCGGGAAAACTTTTACTTTTGCACGCTTTGCGCATACTGAACACCTAGGTAATGTACCACGTATGTCTATACATTAGGTACCAATAGGTAATCGGCTTAAACCTCTGTTACGCGACCACTTTGCTATTGAAGCTCATCGCGTGTCCTTTTTATAGGCGGTGTCCCAGTGCACACGCTACTATTTGGTCTTCAGGCTCAAGCAACGCGCAACGTTATTCGTGTATACACATAAGCACGTCGTTATATGGGTGATACGATGGCGGTGATCCACGGCCGCGACGTGACAGTAACACTAAAGGTAAGTGATTTTCGATTTCATGTTATTTTTCTTACTATTTTTTTTCCAGCCATCTGCATGCCACGTTTTTTACCATCACGGTGTAACGTATTTCTTATATGAACATAAAATATAACCTTTTGGATTCTCGTGTATAGTGCACACATTGAACTTAAAGATACATTATAAACTCAAATAGCCGATAAATTACTATATTATAATCTGACTGAGATGTAAATTTCGTTCCAATGTTTTTATATAATTTGTTTCAGAAACGTTATTCTAATCTATATCTATACGTAAAAAAAAAAAAAAAACATTATGCTAAGTATGTTTCAGACGTTGAGATGTTGTTTCAGCAAGTATACTATACTGAGTAATATTACATTATGCAATGTATTATATATAATCGTTTTATTTTATTTACATTTTAATGGAACATTCCAACGAACTAAATATATATGCATATAAGTTTATACGTAGTAAAATATTGATTTTAGCAATTATAATTATTTTTTAAGGAAATGCTCTTGCGGACGATAGTTTTTTTCGTGGTCATTGTAGACGTATGTTGGGGATCTGATCCACCAAAATCGTATGGGCCGTCTCCGTCAAACGACAACTACCATAATAATTATGAACCCGAGTTTCAAAGACCGTTAGCTGTATTCACAGAGAGACCCGTGAATGTGGCTAACTTTGTATTGATTCCAGTGGTGCAAGTTCCATCTTCAGATCTAAGAATGATTTATCGGCCACAGATCGACAGTGTTTCAAAAACCGAACCAGTTATAATGTGTAAATCATTAACAAAATCATTTGTAAGTATTTAATACTTGTTTTACTATAATTTTTTTTTTTTACTATTTCTTTATTTTTCGAGAAGACACTTCACTCACATGCGTTATCTCCATCTTATAAATGAATAACATAATAAAAACCATTTCATGCGGGCAAGAACCACTCAGGCTGTAGTCCAAATTAAGCGACTAAATTTTCATATTAGAAAGAGAAAACTATGTAATATAGTTTTTATTTTTTCGATATCAGAACTAAAATAAAAGTTATTCAAGTTAGAAAAATCCAAAAATAGTGGGTTTTGAAATGACAACAACTTTTTTTGTACTAGTGATATTAAAAAATTTAAAACGAAATTACAAAGCCAATATTTTCCTTTTTTTTTAAGGTGTAATTTGGATTGTTTAATTTAAAATACAACCCTAGTGGTTTTTGCCTGCGTGAATCAGTTTTTACTACGATGTACGTTTGCAATACAGAGACAAATCTTCTTAAACCAGTCTAAATACCAACAAATACAGTACGATGACAATAAATACCGTAATTTTTTATCACCTTCTATGTATAAGTGATATTACTTTTGTTAGTATTAGAAAAAAAGTAAAAACTATAGGTCCTACCTATTAGAGTAATGAGGATTTTTAGTTTATTAACAATGAGTGCTTAATAGCTTATACAATGAATAAGTTGTTAATAAAATACATTATTTAAGTATAGAATTGTTTAGATTTTGATATAAGTGTATTTCACAGAGGTTAAAATTAGTATTTTTGTTACAGAGAAATATTTTAAAGGTCCTCGAACTGAAAAGTTTAAGTAAAGAGATAACTGTAGAAAACTAAATTATACATAAGAATATAATTTAAATAACACATAATATTTTTTTACTCAAAAGTAATTAAAGAAAATAAGAAATTTTTTTTCTTTGCAAATATGAGATGTATAATATACTTTCGTTAGGTTTCGTAATAGAGTAAAATATGTCGTGTTCGCGGTCGGATATTTCGGTACTAGATTAACTATGAACATTTATAATACTATTTATATTTATATAATATTCTAAAGATTTGCAAGCAAATACCAAATTGTTGAATTTCTATAGTATTATAATATTTTCAAAAAATAACATATTGGTAAATTAATTTTATTATACATAAAGTAAAAATGTGTGAAACCGAGAAGTCTATCGACATAAACATAAGTGTGATAAAATTATTTTTTTCCCTTTTGACCTATCCACCCCTCAATATACTTCAAAGTATTAAGCTTTAGTTCAAATTGTATTATTATTATTTGTTAGACAAGTATATTGGTTATAATTTATTGTAGTCAAATTACATAATTTTGGTTTTTCAAAATATTCTATAATATTATGATGAATATTTTGTGTGGATATTTGATTAATGGTGATTTGTACTCCGATAAGGTTATTTGAACTGACAACATAATAAAAATGGTTTAAATATACAATGTGTAAAATATTGTATATTATTATAAAATAAATATCAGAATAAAACATTTCATAAAAAGTAAAATATATTAAAAAGTATACTCTTGTTTAAAAAATGTAACCTAATTAAATTTAGTTACATAATATTTAATTTATTCGGTTTTGATAAGTTTTTTTAAAAGATTAAAATTTTGTTGGTTTAAATTTACGAAGCGTAAATAAATAGTGGACAAAAAACGGTATGAACTTCAAACGGCGAAAATTACGAAATTGTTGAGTACATTTAATAAATGGGTTATAACTTAAAAGTCACTTTTACCTTACAAGCACATATTAGACCGCAACAAATCGCGTCTTTTGTCCATAAAACTTACAATAAAAAGTATTTCATAGAATTATTAGTTTAACTATTTAAAGAACAACGATTTCTTTGGGCGTGATTTAACTAATTATCCTTTGTACTCTTTCATTTTTAGATATCTGTTCAGCAGTATAATTATACAACTATACATTTAATATTATGTTATTTCAATATAATGGAGTTATTTGTTATTACTTTCTTAATTTTGATGTATGACAATATGATGTAAAAAAAAACTATCTTCTTATAGATTTATGGGGATATGTTTTATTACATAAATATTTTTATATTTTATGAAAATATAATATTTATTACCTAAATCGAAACTATCTATGATCATTATTGTTGGTTTTACATCAATAGTAAAATTATTTTAATAATCTATTAAATGGTAATCGAATTTAAATAACGTTATAAAACTGATGTTGTGATGTGAGATAACCATTTCAATAATTAATTAAACTGGAAAATTGCTTTGAGAATATAATTTATACGTAGAAAATATTCAATCGTATATTTTCATTAATTTTATAATTATATAATCTTGTTCTCTTAAGTGCTTATATTTTTTTTATTCCTATTTTTATTTTATTTTTTATTTTTTTTTTTAGTTTCCAAGTTTTTAGATTTTTAAACGTCTTCTAAACTATAAAGTAGGAAAATAAAAAAAGCGTAAGTTCATAACAATTAAATTATGTGAGAAATTATTTCATAGTAATAAAAAAATTAAATACAATTTATTTAATGATGAAATAATTTATGTTTTCATTTGTTAAAAAAATTAAAAAAATTAAAATTTTAAACTTGTTTTTTTTTTTTAACTTAATAATAAGACATTTTTTCAATTTTATGAACACGATACATTAACGATATATAAAAGTACATGTTACTCGCTTATATATCACTTTATATATAGTTTATAGTTAGCTTTATTAGGTACGTAGCACACTATAAAGTATCCAATACATAAAACTTAAAAATATTAAATAAACGTGCATGTATTATACTTAGAAAGTTCATTTAAAATAAATAATAAATTAAATCAAATTCATAGATTTATTAATTATCTATAAGTAAATTATTTTTTTTTCATAAACTTATAAAAAATTAACTAGCTTTAGTTTAATTCAACTATAATATTAAATATAATATCAGGTATGTTAGTATGTTTCTACTAATTAAATAATTTGTAATAAAAAAATTAACTTAACAAACATATATAATAAAGGATTTTTAAGTAATAAAAATCAAAAATTGTATCGTTGATGATTATTATTGTTTAATTTATCTGACAGTCACTGTTATGAGAAAAATAACGACAAATAGATAACATTTAAAGATAGCTCAGAAGAAATACAATTAGAATTTAAATGAACTAAATATTTTATTACCATTTATCTCCATCACTCTTTATCGATAAAATTAACAATTCGTTGGTACTTGATATTAATTTTTCTAAAATTACATCAATTTTTCCTATTAGTATCACTAACTGCAAACTATACAGCAAAAATTAATTTTTAAATAAAATTCAAGTTTTTAAGTTCATCAAAATTATGAATTAATTTTAATTAAACGAAATATTAATTTATTTTCGTTCTATATTTTAAAAATTTTGAACGAATGAATGGAATCAATTCCAAGATTTTGTGTGTATTTTAATATGATGACGGTTGCAGGAAGCTACACCTGCAGTGCAAGTTCAGTTACAGCAACCGTTTTACCTATATGACGAACGGACGCTCATACCGTTCCCAAAGTCAGTTACCATTTTGCACGGTGGTTACCGAATGTCAATCCCAGTTGGTATGGTTGTAGCTCCAGTTCCAGTGGATCTCCTTCGTGCTGGACCAGTATTCGTCACCACGCTATACGCTATACCCGCGAGTCCCGAGCCAGCGCCGTCACCAGTAAGGTAAGATTTGGCGTTGACTATGTTAAAATTTTTGTAAAATTGTATAGCGTGAAATTTATAATTCAAACAACTAGAATTATTTTGATATTCTTTTGTGATTTATGAGGTAAATTAATAGCATTTGATCATTTCAACTTGTGAGTATAAATAGTATATTGAAAAACACATTTTAAAAAGGTTTATTAGCAGGCTCTACGAAAATGAATGTGTAACGTTACATCTTTATAATTTAAGTCATAAGATTATAACAAATAATACATTTCTTACGTTTTAAAAAAAAAAAACTTCATAAGTGCCAAAGAAACTAAAAACTAACTGTAAAATCAAAGCTAAAGAGAGTCTGTGGGCATAATATAAACTATAAATAATAATTTTGTACTTCTCTTATTGGCCTGAATGCATTGATAATTTTTTTTTAATTTCTGACTGCACCTGATCAAATGTTTAAAACATGTTTAATTACATCAGTTTGTTTGCATATATCACAATATAGGTTCGTACCGTTGCCGTCTTATCCTCCGAATCCAACGGCCCTTCAGCCGTATTCAGCGCCATACTCAGCACCACTATCCCAGTATCCGGCTCCGTCAGTTCAGTATTCAGCAACGCCGTCCCAGTACCCAGTTTCGTCAGCTCAATATCCGGCTGCACATCCTCCGTCCACGCAATACTCACAATCGGTACCACCATCGCCAACTTACTACCAACACTCGGGAAGCACAGATGGCGGATACTCTGAAGAGTCCAATGACCTGCGAAACCGCGAACCACCCGGCAAACTGTACACACAATTTGCAGCGTCGTCGTTTCAAAACTCTAAAGAATCACCACTGCTGCACCAACTAAGAGAGGAGTCGGAAAAGAACCGCAATAAGTACGCGCCGCCTTCGTATTCCAATCAGTACCAAACGGTGGACGCTCCATAGACATGTCATTGCCACTAGACTTGAGTTGTGGTTGGGTGCATGCTTTTAACGAGACAGATGTGCTAATTTTTTTTATTATTATTTTATTTAACGAAAACTATTTTTCTATCCCATATATTTGTATAGGTTACACTTTTATAATGAAAGACTATTATTCTTAAAATATTATTTATATTTTTTATTATTTAAATTTTAAAATATAATCATACTTATAAATTATATAATTAGACTTATACATCTATGAAAAAGTACACTTTGCAGGTAGTATACATAGAGAAGAATAAGAAACAATAATTTCGAATAGTTTACATTATTATGTATTGTTATAATATTAATAATTACTAGCTCGATAGTTTCTACCAAAAAAAAAAAAAAAAATGACACTTTTTGAATGTACCAGATGTATAATAAATATATTATATTCAATTTGTACACCAGTCCATTTTATCACATTTTATATTATTTTTACAATAATTATTTTATTTACATAAGGATTGTTAAATAATTATGTAAAATCTAAATTAAATATGTTATGATTAAGGAACTTAATTTGGATTATGTTGAAACTCGAAAAATGTTGCTCTCAACAAATAATATTAAAACATTATGTTTATAATTTATTTATATTCAGAATTAAATATTTATATATATAAATTTATGGGAACTATTTTATTTTAGTTTATTAAATTGTTATTGTTTATCTAAAAAGAATCAGAGATGAATAATGTAATAAAAAAAAAAAAAAAAAAAAATGCAAGATAATTATGATGGTAGGTTTCTATTATAATTTTCTAATTAAAAATCGTTAAAAAATTGATTTTATATCAATCATAACTCGAAGTAATAAAAATAAAAATAAGAAACGCTATTTTGTTCAACAGGTTGTATTTGAAACTCTCGAGATACTTTCAAAACACTATTATACTATATATATATTACACATAATTATGTCCAATAATGTCGAACTTTTAATTTTGTTTTCGAGTTAACAAAGTCCGACTGTATTTTTTAAATAGTTTATTGGAAAATTATTAGAAGGACAATACTTATATGTGCAAAAAATCGTGTAGCGTTTTTTACATGTAAAAAGGTAGGACGAGCGCAATTGCGTTTCACCGTGTTTGTTTTCAGTTAATATATTTACCCTCGTAATAAACATATGCAAGACATGCGTATAGTATAATTATGTACTACAAATATTTTTTTTTAAGTTTTGTAATTACTCAACTAAACTAATTAGTTAGTCAAGATCTTTTATTTTAGATGAAACATTTTTAGTTTCACATTTAAATAGGTTATAAGTGAAAACATTATCATACGGTTAACATTAATATTGAGTAATAATTATATTTATATTATATTTTGCATTTATAATAGCCAATAGGTTTTCTCTCGATTGTCACTCGGTAAAAATATATTGTTATGTAAAAAAAAAACAATTGTTTATTGGTTTAAGATCTAGTTATCAAAGATTAAGATAAATTGCAATAGACTAATAGTCTATACTCTATAGCATGGTCTATAGTATGATGAGATTTTTTTTAATTAAGAAGTACATAGCATACATATTATATGTCGGTAATTTCATAAATTCGATGTAACGTATACGTACATAGAATATACCTACCTAAGTAGTAAGAATATTTTTAATATTTCAATGGGTTTTTAATTAAGGAATATTAATTAAAAAGGCCACAAAAGTGGATGTTAAATTACAAAAATAATATTTATAATTTGCCTACTTCTGGAGCTATCTAATCTTTAACTATTTCATAAGTGTTAAGTAAATCATAAAATAATAAGCTATGTACCACATTAAATTATAAATAACTAATTATAAACTAAATACTTTTGTTTTAATTGAGTATTAAATAAAAATCAATATTTTTTTTCTTTTCTAAATAATATCACATTTTTTTTTTTTATCACATAAAATATAGTTTTCACTAATACTTTTTTTAAATAAATAGTTATCGATATTCAATTCTTAATCAGTATGATATGATTAACATATATGTTTTAATATTATAATATGAATTTTATATAATAATATAATATCGGATTTAAATCTATGATGAGTATAAGCTATTAAATCAAATTAATTAGCATGAATATCAAATAAATTAATATAGAAATTTGTTAACATTTCTAAAAATAATGATGTCTGTTGAAGAACACAAACCAACAAGTATATCGGATATACTGTTATATTGTTAATAATAATATTACTATATACTTGATAATTTATTAGCATAGTATTAATTATTATTATACTACAGAAAAATCGTAATACAATTAATTATAATATATTATCATTATTAGTAACAGTGGTCGCCTAATACATTTCAACGGTAATATAACTACCACGTCGGTATGAGAATTGCCTACACCATCGCCTTGTGTAATATTCTGGATCTCGCAAACAAAACACATAATATAAATTACAAATAAAAGTTCAAATCCGTCATCGAGGGATAACGAATAATATAATAGATACTCCGTGTTCATGATTATAGTCTTAAAATTTTGTGTATCCCCACCACATCGATCAGACTTGCACGAGCAGTTCATTTATTTATAATTGTATTGTTTTCGGTAGTTTTTTTTTTCTTTTAAACTTTTTTAAAGTCATCATTTTGAACTGTAACGTTAACTTTCGGCGTATAATATTATTATCGTGTTTGCGTGTAGTGAAAATGGTCAAACTGAGGCGGCGGCGGCCGAATACTTTACAATCGATCCGCGCACGCTCCTCGGCACACGCATTATTACGACTCGCGAGGCAATGCGCACAGAAAGCCACGAGTAACAGTCGTTTGCGAGTCGCTCAAAACGTGTATTATTTTCTAACACCATTATAATTTTTGTCTTCGGGCTAATTTGTTAGTCGACCGTATTTGGCGTTTTCATAACATTTTTACGTTATTACCTGATCGTCGGAGAGGCGTGCGTTTTAACAGGTACCTAATTTTACACAAAATAACTGTGTACTATTTGGTACTTCCGCGGACGACGTGATACGCTGGAAAAATCGATAGCACAGCGCTACGTAAAATGGTGAGCAGCGGCTGCAGTGGCAGTGCCGGTGGCAACGGCAACGGCAACAATAATAACAACAACAACAATAACAACAACAATAACAATAATAATGTCAATGACATAAACGTCAACAACAACGACGGCATGCACGATGGCTGTTCGGCTGATTCGCTGGACGTGCACACCTCCGAGGACCAACGGTACAAGCCGCTGTTGGAGGCCATCAAAGCCGGCGATTACGACGAGTTCGAGTTTGCCGTAGACAAGTGTGGAGGTGAGGCACTGAGCTTCCGAGACGAATGGGGCTACACGCCGGCCCATTGGGCCGCGCTCTACGGCAACGCCGAGGTGCTCAGGTACCTGGTGGCCAGGGGCGTGACCGTGGACATGTCGTGCTACGGGATCCAGGGTTCCAAGCCAGTGCACTGGGCATGCCGCAAAGGTCACACAGCCGCCGTTCAAGTGCTGTTGCAGGTACCACAATATACGTTTGTGTACATTAGACGCGGGTGAGGATATCGCTGTGCATCACCCACTTTCCCGAAAGTCCGTTGCGATATGAGCGTGGACAGGTTAACAGAAACAATCTATCCAAGTCATTAACGAGTTAGGTCAACGTTATAATATGCCTCTTGTAAATTAAATTGTACTTTTGACGGTCAAATGATATTCTACATGGCGTTATACGGTGATATTCAACTCTAATATTATAACATAGGTACCTAATTTAAAATCGATACGAGGGAATTATCAACTTACTCGGTTAGAGAGACGTATTTTAATTTTGATTGCGCCTAAGCGGCTATAGGACACACATGGTTCTCGTGCAACTTTCAGAGTTCGTATAGCAGACTATCTACTATGAGATTGAGATGGTGAAACGATCTTATACAAATTTATTTTAAATGATCTGCCATAAAATTTGATTATATAAAATTTAATATTCGTTATTGTAGCTTATTTTATTTTTTATTAATTTTAACGGATTAAATAAATAAATCAAACGTTAAATAAAAATAATAATAAAAATGAGTAACTACAAATTATAATATTTGAGTACGATATACATTTTATTTATCAATTAAAAAATGAATAACTATTTTTTATTATTTACTAAACTCTACAGCTTCTCTGTGCTTTGATAAAATGAATATCGAGTATCAAATTAAGAGATCGGGAGTAATGTCACATTATACAATGTATACTGCAGAATAAGTGTGAAGTGTTAATACCGCTGTGAAATATATTTTATGAAATTTAATAGATTACCAAATATATAAGTAATATTACCTTCTATATGAATTTTCACATGGTAAAAAAAAAAAAAAAAAAAAAAAAAAAAATTACTTACCATTTTTATAAATATATTCTTCTATAATATTAATTTTTATTATCCAGTATATCAAATTGGTTAGGCAATTTATACGTGCATTTATATGTCTGCCGTGATGTTAAAAATCAAGAAATATTAATTGTAGCTTTATCCTAATATATTTCGTGATTAAACAAAGCAAATATTTACTTAATTTTTAATTTAACTGCAGTAATATATATGTATAAACATAATTTTAACTAGTTTTATTGTTTTTCAAATTAAATGGACATAGTCAATTTTACAATAGAGTAATGAACACTTAAACTGGTCAAAAAAAAAAAAAAAAGTTTAAATAAATTAGTTTTTTAATTTGTTAATATTTTATCTTTCCTTTGAGTATTATATTATAATATTATACAGTTGTTTAAATATTGACTATTAATCATTTTCGAAAACCCAGGCCTATGGAAGTGTAATTCGTTTTCGACTTCGCATTGTACTTAATGAAATTTTCTTTTACTCTACGATTGTATAAGCATCATGGTGACAAAACCTGCAGTTTTTATATCGTATTACGTATGTAAACGTATGGATTAGTTTAAAAGAATTATATCATAATACGTGCTATAAATTATAATATAACCGCCATATACGAATTCGTATTTCAAGCTGAAGGTTTCGAGAATTGACACTTATTTACGTATTCATATTTTATATTAATACATAGTACTGATTAGTGATTATTATAAATATTATTTAGAGAAGAAGTATTTTCAATATAAACCGAAGATTGTAATAAAAAAAAAACTATAGCTACATAAATCTAAAAAAATACTTTTTTAGTGAAATTTTTTTTTTTTTTTAATTGCGTTCGAGAACGTGCGAAATTATTTGACTAAATGTTTTTTAAAGTGAATTGTGAACTCTGTTTATAAATTTCATTATAGCTCATAAAATTAAACTGAGAAATTTTTAATAGCCACTAGATAATATTAATGTTCGATCGTTCCGTCACAATATGTATTAAATATATCTACCTATACAATTCCATTAGATTTTTTAGGAATCAACCGATCGATTGTTATTAATAACTGTACCTAAAAGATCAATTGTGATGACAAATATATCTAAGTAGTGAGTTGCCTTCTTACAATTAATAAACGAATTTATTGATTTGGTTCGATTTCGAAAAAACTATTAACTAATTATCTACGCGAATCGATGATTTTCGTAAACATCCAATTATATATTTTTTCTATGATTAAAATATTAGTTTTGTACTCGTTATATCTAATTACCAGTTGATATATTTGTACGTAGTGAAATTCTAGAATGCATGTTTAATAATCTACGTATTACTACTGTAAATACTAGAATATTCGTCTTGTATATAATTAGTTATGCCTAGTTAAAAAGTGGACAAATTTATTATTACATATGTAAACGTAATTATTAACTGTTCTTGAATGTTGAGTGTCAGGTAAAATTTTATTTATAAAACTGATGAAAATATTTTGATAGCCTAACTATTAATGATAATAATCTTTTATAATTTATTATGACAATATAAATTAAGAGGTATACTTGTAATTTGTATGTAACCCGCGCAGTACTTAATAATAGTCTATAGTTGTGGTACAATAATCTACGTTGGACAGTTGTTTTGTGAAAAATGTATTATTCGATGACACAAAAACCATGACCCATAAAATACAATTTGCATGTAGGTATATAAAAATAAAACGTAACATTTATAATTATCTTTAATGTAAATCGTTGATACTTTGAGAACCTTGAAATGCTACTAAGATGACAGATTAACATTAAGACCAAACCCATACTAGAGCACATTATAGTATAATATATTACACGATTATATTGCTTAAAAAAATATTTTTACATATATAATTTATCATAATATTAATTAAAATTTTTAAAACTCACGACTCATGATTCAATTATTTTAAATGATTAACGAAATACAAAATATCATAATATATTAAACTATAATGTTTAAAATAAATGAAATATTATAAATTGTGATTTAAAATAAAATAAATTTACTTAAATGTAACTCTTGTGTGTTTTGAAGGCTGGAGTAAATCCAAACGTATCAGACTTCAAAGGCCTTACACCCTTAATGACCGCAAGTATGTTTGGAAAAACATCCACGGCGAGTTTCCTATTAGGTATGGGTGCTCTACACCATCTGACCGACATAAATGGTGACACGGCATTACACTGGGCCTCGTATAAAGGTCACCCAGAACTGATAAGGTTGTTATTGTACTCTGGAGCAGATCTGACAAAAGCTGACAATTTCGGCTCGACGCCGCTACATTTGGCTGCCCTTTCCGGAAATGCAAAATGCGTTGAAATACTTTGTCAGAACGTATGTAAAAACAAATTTAAAAAAAACATTATCTATCGAAAGTCGATAATTTATAAATATTCGTCTGTTGGCCTTTACAGAGTCAAATATCATTACAACCTAGGGATAAAAACGGCAAAACTCCGTTAGGCCTAGCTGTGAACCACAGGTACGAGGACATCGCAGGGTTGTTGAATAAAGAGATTAAGAAGAGAAAGAAGTGGATAGTACCTCTTCACAAAGCGTTGTAAGACTATACATTGCAAATGCAAAGTTATTTGTTTGCAATATGTATCGTAAATTCGTAATTATCTAACTATTATTATTACAGAAATGCAATTTTTGGAAGTTCAGCGTACTCGAAAGGTCCTTTGCTGCTATTTTTGTGTTCTTTCCTGATTTGGTGGTATCCTCTTTATATATATAGAGTAAAGCAGTGTTTTCATCTACCCGTAAAATGTGTGTTCGATTTTTAATAATTTTATGTGGCTATGCTATGCTATAGGTAGTACCTGTTACGTGGAACTTGACGAGAGGTTGTCACTATACGTATATAGCCTGGAATATATTCATGTGGATATGTTGGTTTATAACAAAACAATCAGATCCTGGATTTTTACCAATCGATTCAGGCAGTTACATTCAAACCATTAGACAAGTAATTTTATTTATCGAATAAAATAAATTATTAATTTTATCTATGGAATTTGTAAATAGAATGTAAATTCTTAGTTATTATTAATGTATTATATAAATTAAAACGGTATACAAATTTAGTAACAATACATAACGTGACAAATCTACGTGAAATCTTAAAATAGTTATGTAAATAATAAAGGCGTGTCTAATATCAATGATACAAAACAAATAGTAATAATACTATGATGGCTTAATGAAAATATAAAAATACACTTAATTAATACCAACGTGAAAATTGTGTGATACATTTAATTATGGTTAGTTATTATATACATCAACCATAATTATTATCATTAATTCAAAAATTTATTATCGGATGACATGTCATGTCATAGTATTAATTTTTCAAAAAATTATTTTGAATTTATTTAGTTACCGTTTTATCCGTGTGACATGGGTACCAAAAGAGATATTCTGTCAAGACTTTGTCACACATGTCGCTGCGTAAGACCCTTGCGAGCTAAACACTGCCGACTATGCAACAGATGTGTTCAACATTTTGACCACCACTGTCAATTTGTTATCAATTGCATCGGCCTTAGCAACAGGTAAATTTTTATTAAATTATTAATTATTTTTTTAGTCCAACATTAGTTTGTTCAAGAACTCCTACAATACAGTGGAAAGTAATGTGTATATAGGATCCAAAAGTCTTGCGTTAATTTATTTCATAGCATCATTGTTAATCTCTATTGTTAGGATGGCAAATATAGAGAGATAAATTGTATTTCTTACAGGAATATAATACTAAAATAATCAATAATGTGTAAAGAATATTTTTTTTTATATATTAAAAATATAATTCTGCTATTTTGATTTTGTACGTTTATATTTTTGAGTATTTTATATAGCAAGAAATATTTATATTATAATTTATAATATACATATAACATTTCTTTGTATATTAGTTTGATACATAACTATATAAATGTATTAAAATCCTATCCTACGCTCTAGTCTAACGTATAACATGAATATGCTCATTTGGGTTTGTTCATAGATCGTGGTTTTTCTGGTTTGTCATAAGTCTAGCCATGAATTGTTCGTACGTAATTTATTTGGTGTGTTGCACGATCGATGTAGAAGGATTCAACGTTTTTTACGTCCTAGCGTTATTGCAAGCATTTGCGTTTGGTGTTTTGAGTTGGGCCTTAACTGCAACAATCGTAAGTATACCTATAATACACATAATATATTATACTTATAAAAGATTATATATATATATATATATATATGTATATATAGAGTGTCTATATGTATGTATAGATATGTATGTGTTTTTACTCATTTATACTCACCTGATTTTCCATATTGCATTATATTTCTCTATCAGAATCCTATCTAAACTTAAAAATTTTCGACATAAGTACTATTTCTTAATACTAAATGAAAATTTATAATTCGAATTTTAAGACATTTATATAAATTAGTCTTATGCATTTATTAATCATATTAGTCGTTACCTATTTTTATATATAGTATATATCTTAATACAACTTTAAAACAAAAGTTCAAACATCTTATTTTGATGTAAAAATTGACCAAAAAATACTATACAATTATAATAAAGATATTGATTTTTAAATTTTTAATAAAGTAATAATTTTCCAAACCATGTTTCAAAAAAAATATGTAAGTAGCATATAATGTACTAACATAAACACACTTTACATCAATATAATATATATATATATATATATATATATATATATATATATATATATAAATTATTATATATAGTATATTTACATACATTTCATATGCTTACCTGTATCATAATATATGAATTAAGTCTCTCCAATGTTTTAAACACATATTTGTTTTTTTTTCTACATAGTGTATCAACGCATTGATGAATTTAACCAGAAATGAGATGATCAACCATAAAAAGTACACTTACCTAAAAAACAGCAGAGGAAAATACTACAATCCATTCTCCAGAGGCATCGTGATCAACGTTTTGGAATTTTTCGGGTGTACACAAAACAGAACGAATTATGAAGGCGATAGATATAATTGTTACGATTGAGGAGGGGGGACAAAATATACGAGAAAATTTTGTAGGTACTTATAAAATATCTACTTAAACTGCCATCATTTTAAAAGTGATTACTAAAAAACGAATCAAAGTACGTCTATAATAAATAATAAGATCCGATCATTTTTAATAATATTATTCTGCCTCTTCAAATTCTACACATTTATTGTCATATGAAATAATTATTTTAAAAAAACCGTCTTTAATCGTAATATTTTAATAATACTATATTTTAGATTCTATTTAAATGTAACTATGCAGATTTCACTTTAGTGCATTCGAAATAAAGATTAGGTGTTTACTATTATTGAAATGTTTATTTTGCTACGTCAGATCACTTAACGTGAATATTTTTTACTCACATTTTTCATATAAATGATAATACTATATAGTGTATTATGCACCTCAGTCGCGTAATATCATTAAATTAACATAATATGTGAAGTTAAAAAAAACTTCTTGAATGCCTACAGAATGGTGATGATAACGAGATGATGATGAGTTTGGGTTATGATACCTGTTTTACTTCTTCAAACCAAAAATAGGAGACAGCCTGTTTGGTCATTCAAACACTGTAATAGACTCTTCGCTTACTTTCTACTTGGTAACAGCTGTTGTGCACAATAAAATATATAACCATTTGCATACAATAAAACGTGCGTTAGCCGTATGTATAGACTCGCGTATTTTTTTCCCAGCATTCAGGTACAATAGGAGAAGAAAGAAAGAGGAAAACGTTTTTGCAAAACAAAACTCATTTCTTGTACGATTTGTATTTATATTTTTTTATCTATAAATATATTATATATTTATTTATTACCATTATTATTATTATTTATTTTTATTATTGTCATCATTAATTATTTTTACATTTTATATATTATGTATATTGTATATAAAAGAAAAAAAAATCACAAATGCCGATTTGTACGTATATTAGTAACACATTAGTATAATTCAATAATTATTTAATTAAACGTATAAAATAAATTAATATTTGCTCAACATTGAGCACGCTTGCGTGGCACATTTTTACAAGAATTTCTAAAATAATACTATATAATAAGTGTAATAAGTGTAATTTACTATGGCAAACAGTTGCCGATTGAAGACAATGGAGTATAGATTTATTGGCTGTGGTACACAATGGCTAAAATAATCACCCGCAGTTGTGCAATCTGTGATATTCGTACCTATTACATTCACAGATTTCAACATTGGTGATTCTATTGTTTCAAATCCGCTCAGACCGGACGAGAATTGTTTTGACAATGTATCATTATAGATAAAAATAAACGCATTAACTCGGACAGATAATGCCTAGTATTTGGAGGTACCAAACATAATTATACGCGACAATTCTGATCAGGCGATGCGGCGGATCTGTAGTAATAAATATTGGCCTCGAAAAACAGATATTAAAATACATTGACCGTTAAATTAATAAATAAAATTAAAGTTATACTCATTTTGACTAGCTGTGTACACATTTACGAGATTGAGGCGTAGTTATAAAAAGAGACTTAAAAAAATATCATTTTCGTATATACGTTAGATAGGTGAAAATATTTGCATTATTTTATGCACAAATACGTACTGCAACGTTCCAGTGGTGTTTTTAGAACTATTCAGATACAACACGGATATTATATCAATATTTTTAACAATAATAAAAAAAAGAACTGTCTCATTTTTTTTTTTTTTTTTTGAAACTAAAATATTTCCTTATAACGATTCGTGGCTCGCAGTAACTGACAAAATAATAATTTATCGGTATTGGCGGTCAATCTGTTTCATCTCCTCGTTCTCGTTTTACTAATACACCACTGGGCGTTGAAATACCTATTATAATAGTTAAAATAAATTATTATCCTGCACTTTGATTAGTGCCTATTATAGTCTACGCTCAGCCTATACTGGTTATTGTCACGGTATTAAAAAAGGTGACATTATTTTTTTTTTTATAATGGCGATGTTTTGAAAATAATTATGCACATTCTATTACGTACTTTATTGTGCGGTCTGCATCAAGTCTCCAGTCGTAACGCACGCCCACCTATGGTCTCCGAGTGTGTAGTACAATATTCTAATAAATTGCGAGTTCTTCTATATATAATAACGCGCTTCGTGCGACGTCTATAATTATGTTCTAAATCATTATTATTATATAGGCGATAAAAGATAATAGTAGCAAGAGGAGAGAAAAATAATAAAACATTAACACTAATCATCATTAAAACTACTTAGGTACCTACGAGCATCGTTGCACCGGAGGAGAGCAGACTCTTAAACTTTGTATTATGGCTGGTGTGCATAATAATAATAACAACGAAACCGTCATCATCTATATAACATTATATACATGTGACGCAACGAAAGATACAACCAGTGGCGCGTCATGAAACTTATTGGCCCTAAATTCTATGAAAATTAGAGGCATTCCTATGCACAGAAATCAAACTATTAAACAGTGACGGTAAAAAAAAGAATTTGACGCTTTAGAGTTTTTTTCACGTTTCAAGTCAAATTATTTTCAACGTACCTTTATGTGATTTATATAAAAACAGATGTCCGGTATTTTTTGATATTTTTTTAACGTGACGATATAAAGGTCCTGTGCCCCTCCCCCCCAACTCGGGCGTTTACGTCGGCCTAAACACGCCACTGGTCACATACCTACAGTTATATTATTTTATGCAAGCACGTCCCCCGGCGGCGACCGACTGCGGGATTATGGTTTGTTATGGTTCTGCTGTATAATATACTATACACGCGTAACACGTGCAGACCTAACCCGACGAAGACTTATTAATCGGCCGATCGGACCGGGCCTACGTCGAAGTCGGGGCGGGACGGGCGCGCGGGGCCCGATAATCACTGCGACGGGCGCGGGTCGTAGGGCTCGGCGTCGAGGCCCACGTAACGGTTGTTCTTGCGGTGCACGAACCCGGTGCCGGGCGCCGTGTTGTAGTAGACCACCCTCCTGATGCCGAACGGGTCGACGTACCCGAAGCTGCCGGCGCGCGTGTCGCCCGCGTCGTCCGACTGTTCCTCGTGGTAGTGCCGGGGCAGATAGTACTTGAAGCCGTTCCGGACGAACGACACGCCGTCGTACTCGGCCTGTTCCGTCAACGGCCCCGGCGTAGTCCTGGCCGACAAGTCCACCACCTTGCGGTACGCCGGCCGGAACGTGTGCGGCCGCAACGGTTGTTCGTACAGCGGCGGCTGGCGTTCCGCGGCCGTGGACGCCGATACCGTGGCCGCGGTGGACGACGACGACGACGACGACGAACGACGTCGGTAAGGCGGTCGACGCGCGTCTTCGTCGCTGTCCCCGCTGTCCCCGGCGGCCGCGATCGAGTTGACGTCCACAGGCCGCACGGAATAGTAATCGTCGTCGTCGGCGGCGGCGATGGGCGACGGCGTGCTGCTCGGCTGCGGTTGCCGGAACCGCGACGCCACTGAACGCGGTGGCGAACCGGCCGCGGGGAATCGCAGTGGCGACGATTGGGTGTCGGACGGGTATACGAACGGCGAGCCGCGCCACGACGACTCCCTGGGCGGCGGTTGGGTGATCGCCACTACAGCCGGCGGCCGGTTAACGACCGTGGCCGTGGCCGACCGGTACGGCGACGTCGAGACGGCCGTGCCGGCCACCGCCGGCGCGTACTTGGCCACCGAAACGGCCTGTCCGACGGGCGTCTGAGTGCCGACGAACAGCTTCTTGTTCTTCACTATTCTATAACCTGCGACACAGATAAACGCAAATGGTAATGATATTATTCCACGTCAAATTCAATTTCAAAAATATTATGTTTTAAATATTCTTCGATGGTTTATTTTATTTGAGCGTCTAAATAAAAATTAATAATGTATTACTCGTAAAAAGAAAATAATAAGAATAACTTTATTGCAACTATACGAACTGTCGAATGTGAAAAATATGCTCAAAAGACAGAATATCTGAATATCTACACAAAATTATGCAAAGTTAATAAATGAAATGTTCAAAAGACTTCCTTTTCAATAAAGTGTATTAAATGCACAGTCTGTGCATCATAGTGGGCAATGGCCAATGGCTAATATGGCTAGTATGTTGTAGTATAAACGTGTAAATTTAAATCGTTGGTAAAGCCACGGACGACGTTAAGCATCATCGCTCATGTTTTGTTGTTACCGTTTTTCATTTAGTCAGAGAAATTATTGAAAAAAAATTAATTTGATTAAGTAATTTTTTTATGTCGGTATAGATACATAAACCATTTGTAATTTCCCTACGATTTTATTTTTTCCCAAATTACTTTTTAACGTTGATTTAAATCTAAACCAATTTTAAGAATTTGCACATATTTATAGCTATTAATACTTTTTTGTTTAAAAGGCAAACATTTGAAAATTTTTCAAGTTGAGCGTTGTAATAGTTATTATATTAAATTATAATACGATTAACAATATTATACATTAATTATAAATATAACCTAACTGTATAATACTGCTGCAGTGTTATAAAAATTGTAAAAAAAAAGGTATACTCGAAGTTATATTGGACAAGTTTTTTTTTCGTTTCCGCCCATCCCACGCACGCAACATAATATAATACTAAAATCGCGTCCTTCATTTTTAGTATATACCATATAAAGTGGTCATCATATATTAACTTGTGATATTTTTACCGATTATACATTTATATATACTGTGATTTAAAAGTAACATTATTTTTACATTATATACAGTAGCGGGCTAACAAAGGGATTTAAAATAGTTTATAATGCCTAAGGCTTTAGTTTAATTTTTTTCTCTTGTTAATGTATATAAAATTGTTAATGATGATAATTCATTGTTATTTTTTTCAATAAAAACAAGTTTTTAGTTTGTACAACATTTAATAATAAATAATACTCGGCTCATAACTTTTTGTTAAATATCGAGTTTCCCAATTAAGTTTTAATAAAAATTGTTAATTGTTACTGTCGGTAATACTAGTAGATTTGTAATTCTGAAATAAGCTATATTTATTTTCATGAAAAGCTAGTATGTATATAATGTTAGTATGCGTCTAATATTTGTTAGCTTTTATTATAATCAATATAGTTAATTTTTATATTATAATTTTATGATTTAAATATTTTAATTTATTTAAAGGTATTTTCATCTTATATGATCTACAAAGTGTTTATTTTTTTATTCCAAACATTATAAAAATTTTGCAACTTTTCATGTCCCAATATATGTATGTAATAGAAAAATAAAAAAAAATCAATTTTCCACATTTTCCATTATTTTCCATGATTACATTGCACGTATTCTAATTGCTATATGTACGTATTAACGGCTGTATTTTTCTTAATTATTCTTTTTGTTCGTGGATATTTTTGAATTTAATTTAGGACTACATTTATGTGGTATATTGTTTATAATACCATCGACATGTCTTGAATATAAAGAGAATTTATTTGCAAATCAGTCGATCGTGATCGTGTCCCTAATACATATTATTATAACGTCGATCAAATATTAGATGATCATAAAAATTAAATCAAAATAAATAATCCTTTTTAGGTATTTCTAAAAAAATTCTATAACGACAATAAATTTTGCATTAAATTTAACAGTACTTAAAAGTATTTTTATTTACCTATATTAAAATACTAAATATGTTAATAAAAATTTATATTTATTAAAAGGTATATTATAATGAAGATACGAACAGTTAAATTTTTAGTATTATAATCGAAATTTGAAAAATATTATGCATTTTTATTATTTAATTTATAAAATATTCTATATTACCTAATACTTTGATCATTTTAAATCGAATGGTATTATTATCATTTAAATATAAAACTTTTATTGAAAGATTTAAATAGGTTATATAAAATTACACATTATTACCTTCACAGAAAATAATCTGTATATTGTTGTTTTAATAACTGCACAGTTAAAAATGTTTCTTTGTAATTTACATAAAATTTTTATGATGCGTGTAGTACGTAATTGAATAACTTTTACTATAAAATTACTACATGCTGTTGTGAAAATATACTAGCTCATGTTCTATAAAAAATAAAAAATGATCTATTTGGGACATTGAAGTGAATAAATTATTAGGCTTATAAAATTAAATAATTATGAGTTGTGACTATCGAATTATAATAAATATACCTTCACTCTGCAGACTATTTATATTTTACGCGAATAAATATTTAATTAAAATTTAAATACGTAATAAAATACTACCACTTAATTATTATTAGTATTAGTACCAATTTAAATAAATTAAGTTAAACAATTTCTTTGAGTGTAATAATTGCATTTAGATAAAATAATTTTTATTGTAACAATATGTATGCATATATTATATAATATGTATATATATATTTATATAATATAAGGGTTTTTGTGTTGTAACTATGAAGTATAAATGGATTGTGAATTGATATAAATATAATAGATTATAAGCAATAGTTTAACACTTAATGATACTTTTTTTTTGCGTGTTTAATATAGTAAATTAGCATTATTAATGCAGATAATGTAGAATTATTGTAAATATTATTAATTGTATGTAATTGATTTATAACATATAACAAATAATAATAAATTTAAAAATTTATAATTTGCAATCAATTTCAATATTGCTTTAGTTAAACAATAAAATATGCTTTAATTTTTTATGATTTATAGACATGCAAATATGTAAGTAAAATAAAAAAACTGATGCCAAATGTAAAATTAATTAATAGTGTAATAAAATAACAAAGACATTTTTAAATAAAAAAGTAAGTATTTACGATTTATACGACTTACAGCTTGAACGAGTTACAAATTATGGGGTATCATATGAGTTCAACTCAAATCATATAATGGAAGCTGATTACTCTAATTTCATAAATGTTTGAACCCAAAAATAATTTTAAGAGAATTATACTTTTTTATGTAATTATAAAACTATTCATAAAATTACACGTTTTTATAGATAAACGTAAAATATAAATATCATAAAAGATTTATGATGTGTAATGAAAAAGTATGAACGATAACTGACTTAAAAATATGTTTAGAACAATCTCGAAAAGATCTTAAAGAAATTACATAACGTACATGTAATACTGTACTATAATGTAATTCTGTTGTAGAACATTTTTTTCAACACTTGAATTTTAAATATACCACAAAAACGTTTGTATATACTATACTTGTACACTATACAGTATGGTGCATATATTATAGTTCAGAGTACAGTTTATTGTAATATATTATACTCAACTATTTAGTATACAAGTATTACACTTTAGTCACGATTTAAAAAAAAAAAAAAAAAGTTTTATTGCTATTGCGCAAATCCGTCATACTAATATACTGTGCTTATTGAGAATTCAAGAAATATAATTTAAAATATGCTTACAAATATTACGTGAATTTCTTAATAAAATGTGTTATTTATTTTATTTTTTATTTATGTGTTAAGTTTAAGAGTAAAATACAAGAAAAAATATTGAACACAGAATGTGTCACGGACTTACCCTTCGAATCGGCTATATAGTCGTTAAGCCTCAAATACCCGTCAGCGTCTACCCAGCCATACGTTCCGACCACACTTCCATCTTGTAGCCGCCTCTCTTTACGATACTGACCACTAATTGTTTGATACTTGAAATACCTTTCGGGCCCCTCGTCCGTTTGTATATGATACTGCGTATTCGGCTCCGTGTCCCATCCTCCGTCAATTTTGGATGCTACTGTTCCCAAAATGGCAAGCTGAAAATAAAAATACTCATGTTGATAAATAAGAACAATGATATTGGATGTTATGTACTATATTATTAATTATAAGCATTTTAATTTACTATATAAATGATCTTTTGGACTTTAATTTTTCTTCAAACACAGTATTTAAGCTACTTGTCGATTTGCAGTTCAGATGAATTTATTATGTATGATGACACTGGAACTTTTACCTACCATATAGTATCAAACTCTGAACTAGCGAATTTTTAGCAACATGATACAAGAATAATTTGTTATATTATATATACGTTTTTAGAATAAAACAATATTATTATCATGATTATATTATGAGTATATTATATTGTATGTAAACATTATATTATTCATCCTGGAATAGTTAACAATATTTTTCTATCAACAGTTATCGTTTGGTTATCGATATGAAAAATTACTATCTGATACATAATATTAATCAACCGGTTACAATAAAAATTTGACTCACAAATTGTTGATGATAATAATTATTACATTATAGGTGGATAGAATAACTATCTGGACAAGACAAAGAAAACCATAACCAAGTAACATGTAGTGCGAGTATACCTTTGATAGGTAGGTACGTATATATTTTTTCTTGCGTATGGTCACTGGTCAGTGCTTTTTAAGGTATTTGTTCGTCCAAGAACCTATTCTTTATATTATTTTACTAGGTATCTATATACATTTCTTAACGTTTACGTTTATTCAAAATATTTTCATTCTTTTAAAAATTTAATATACACAATAATATACAATATATTGTACATACGCTGATGGTACCTAATTAGAAAGTTTTAATTAGTTCTAACGAACGTATTTTTTTTTCAAATTTATCTATATTATATTGGTACTTATAGCTAGTAGGATGGATCTGCAAAGGTATGGAAGTTTTTTCATCTTATTTTACTGCATTCGACTGGTTTATGATAAGTTTAGTTATGGTATTATGTAGACATGCAATATTGTAGTAGTAGTAATGTATACTACGATTTATTCAGAGTAACATAAGCGACTATAAATTGTATACATAGAGTAAAAATATATATTATCAACATGTATATATATATATATATATATAAGTGTATGTTTTTAAAAACTGAGAATGTGTATTGTTTCATTGTGTATTCAACGTATACTCATACACTCGATAGTCAATGGAGCTGATTTACGTGTCATTTCATGCACACTTATAAATAAACACAAACGTCAAGACTGAAGAGAACTAACTTGTAATTCATCCACGTACAAACAAATATGTATAGATATTTTAAAAGTTTGTTTGAAAATATTTTTTTAAATAAAACGAATAAATAAATTTTAAAATAATATTTATCATTATTTAATAGTATATATAATATAAATACTGTAATTTTATAATTCATAATATAGAACACAAAATAATATGAAAAAAATAAGTTAAATAAATTTTTGACTGACTTTATGCCCTAAACATAATATACAAATAATTAGTAAGTAATGTTAAAATTAATTTTTATAAAAGTATACTTTAGAGATTAAGTTTATTCTTAAAATATATTAAATATTAAAATCATAGAGGATTGGATAAAAGTAATATTTTTAACATAAAATATCAATAAATAATATTATTTTACCATAAGATAAGTAGTTATCTAACACACTATTAAGCCTATAAGTAAGATTAAAATTGTTCGATATATTTAAGAATGTGAGTATGCTATTAAAATAAAAATAAAATATTCTAAACTTTTAAGCTATATGTTTTAAACTTAATAATTCTAATTGGATAAATTTCAAAAATTTTAGAAGATTCTGAGTTAAGTGATGAATACATAGATTTTATCACTATATTTTTTTTTTGTGTATAAGTAGTGAGTACGTCATAAGTTATCAATAAAATGCTCTAATTTTCGAAAATAAAGTGATTTTGGGTATAAAATTGGATCTATTTTGTACTTTGGAGAGGTTAAGAATAAACATTTTCAATACTTATTTTCATAATAGGAAAAAATAAAAAAAAATTAAGGAAAACGGGCATTTTTAGGAAAATTTAATTTTTGACGAAATTGATTTTTTTTATTACAAATTGAAAACGGATAATTGTGGATATCTGTAACGTATACCAAATGTTTATACTATATTTACAATATTTTAAAAATATTTTGACTATTTTTAAACTTTAGTAGAGCCTTGATAGTCAGGAAAAATTCAAACCGAGCATTGTCCGGATTACCGGAGCGTTCTCGAAATTACCTACTCCAACGACTAAGATTTTTATTTTTTATTCCACCGCCTTTGTATTTAATGCACATAAAATTACGAAATAATAAATAAATTTAACATTATTAATAAAAAAAAAAAAAAAATGCGTATAACAATAGAATTTGAGTATAGGTACTTTTAATTCCGACCAAACTACAAATATATTTACGAATAAACGGATAAACTGGATTATCTGGAGTCCGAACTATCGAGGCTCTACTGTATAGTATTGGCATGAAAAATTTTCAATTTTTTTTTTTAGTTTAGTTTGATGTCAGTAATTGAGTATAAATACTTGAAAATTTAACATAAGATCCCACAAAAACAAAAGTTATTACTTTATCAAAGTATCTGCAGTATGAAAATATTAAAAATATATACGCGCAATTTTTTTGTGTGCGTTTAAAGTTAGAATTGTGATGAAACTTGTTGAAATCGGAAAAGTTGTAAGCTAATACTACGGTACACATATATATTTTTAAAATAATTTAATAAATGCAATATTTTTACCTACTATAGTACTTAAAGTAAAATAAATTATTTTAATAGCTGTATCAAAAACATATCACTTTTTAGTTATATATGCTGATTGACCGTTTTCGCTCAAAATTATTTTTCGTATACAATGATAAATCATTGAATTTAAATTTAACAAACTTTAAATAGTGACCCACTCGATATCTAATGTACAGCAGAACGATACAAGCTGTTTACCTATAGATTTTTTTTATTAATTATTTTCAAGACTTGGAACTGATTGCACTGACAATTTCCAAACAATTATGCAATTAAATTTATCGAAAAATGCTTTAAAATTATGTATAAAAATAAAACTAGAAAACAATATATTTATATGAAAGAAACAATAATTGTTACCAAGTGCTTAAATTTGTTAAATATTATATTTAAAAAAAATAAAAAATATGAAAATATTAGGCTAATAAAAAATACACAAAAATTAAAAACCCAAAAAAAGAAGTCTTTATCCCTATCCATAAATAAGTATTGATTACAGTTTTATAATTTTTGAAATATGACATATAGAAGACCTATATGTAGATAATACTTATCTTAGATAATACAATTTATTGTGGTTTTTGGCACCAACGTAAATCGTTTATACTGCCTTGTTTTGGAATTAAAATTATTACTATACGCAATAACAGCAGTGATATAATACATAGCCATTGTGTCATGAATAATAAAAGAATGATTAATTGGTTTTTACCTTTTAAGGGAAATCTTAAATATATATATATATATATATAAATTACAAAAATTTCATTTTTTACACTAATTAATAATAGAGTAGATTTCGTAATTTTGACAAATTTACTTTTCATCTTTTCATCTATATCTTTATTAATAGTAATAATAATAATAATAATAATAATATAAAAATATTATAGGAACACCAATGTACATAACATAAATATAAATTATTATATTATATTTGTTCAATTTACGTCACCGATAATATTATTCACAGCATGCAGTATAAGCTATACATTAACCGCAAGACGACATTTCGTAATAGTCAATATGTTCAGCCTACACCGGTTTACAAAATATAGAAGAACTCATTACTAATTTTTTTACACCCACGAGAAAAATAAGACTTCAAATAGATATTTTTGTTTACTCATTTTCATTTATGGGTTATATGTAATACGGATATTTCGTAAATTTATGTTTGCGTTTTACATGGATATTGCGCAGCAATACTACTGCAGATGCTGTTTTATAGGTGTATTATATTATTAAAATATGTACCAGGAAATATTACTTTACTATGTTGTTAAATAGGGACGTATCGCGAAATTTCCTCACGATAATATATTATAATATGTAAATTATATACACTTTTTAGTATTGACACCTTATAATTAGATAACATCTTTTTTTATGTAATAGTTCAAGTTTGTTGAAATCAATGTGTATAGATCATAAAAATAAACGAAAATAATTATACACTTTTTTTTTCAAATAACAATTTTATTTCACTATTACGAGATAAATTTTAAATAATCATTAGAATATTAAATAACTACAATTTGATAAAATTAACTTTAAGTAATTCAGTAATTGTAAAAATAAAATAACAATGTAAACCTATCGTATTTCGAACCTTCATTTAGGCTCGATCATTAACGCAAAACGCTGTTGCCTCATCAGACATCCCACTCAACCATGCTGGATAATTTTTGTAAAATATTTTAGGTCGTCTAATTTAAATAACTTATCAAACTATAAAATATACTAAAATAACAATGTTAGAATATGTTAAAACTCGCAAACGTATTTTGGGAATATATTAAATATATTTTACATCAACTTTTTACAAAAATAACGTATACACCAAAAAGTAAATTAAATAATAACTATTACAGTATAATATATAGTTTTACTAGAATTGAATATGCCTAAAAACTACATGTCTTATAACTATTTTAAAATAAGAGTGAAAAATCATATATTTTAAATATATTAAACTAGAAAATTTATAGGTATTTATACAAAAATTGTTGTGTTTAAACTGATAGAATTATACCTTTATTACAGAATATTTTTTTGTAAAAGAAAAGTAATAATCTGTAGCACTATAGTCCTAATTCATGCAATTTAATATTGTATGGTTACCTATTAATTATGAAAGAAAAGAATAATGCAGCAATTTAGTAACATCAACAATTTCTACAACTTTACTTATAATACTATACTGTATGTACTTTTTTATATTATTGTTATAT